CATGCACACATGCCCGGCGTGAGTTTAAGCCACCCGGTCCAGAACTCAAACTGTGGTCGACTACATGGGAGTTCAGCTACATAACCATTTCATCAATTTCTGGTCCCTTTATTCCTCTTTTTTTCTAATTCGTTTTTTTATAAACTTGCTACAGGGTTAGTGTTTTTGCCAAAGGGAGAGAAAGTGAGAAAGCACCACGTGGATTCAGAGGGATGGCGACGCTGCAGTCCCTTCTCCTCCATTTTCCTCTCAGGCTTTTGGGCATGCATGCACGGATATCCACATGCCTGGTGTATTTTCAAGCCGCTGGATCTGAGACTGAAACCACACGGTAGGCCATGTGGATCTAGCTGCCTTAACCACTAAGCACTCGTTGGCCCTCTTTTTTCTTTTTTTCTTTTTGGGTTTTTCTCACTGGGCACCTGGACTTGCCAGCGAGGGAAAGTGAGAAATCACCCCCAGGGAGGGTGGCCATGCCACAATCTCGTCTCTGTTCTCTTCCTATGTTTTTGGGCACGCATGCACACAAGCCCAGTGTGACTTTAAAACTGCTAGGTCTAGGACTCAAAATGCATTCAGTGGAAATACAGCGCCCTAACCACCACGCCACCTGCTGGCCTCCACTGGTTGGCCCATTTTAATTTATTTTAACATAAACTGACAACTTCACCCATCTCCCCTAACGGGATGGTATGTATCACAAAAGAATATGGACATTCTCCAAAAAACCTGCAATAGCACCAAGAAAGCTAACATTCCTGCAGGAAAATGGTGCAACTTGTGTGTAATAAGCATGTAAAGTTTACTAGCTGTCCCCAAAATGCCCTTTAAAGTTTTTTCTTTCTTTCTTTCATGAGAGAGAAATATAGACAGGCACCCTCTACAGGGCATCACCATGCCACAGTCCTCCCCCAAGCCTCTCTGCCACCCAGAATGATGGGTACTCAGTTGGGCTCTATGGGTTCTGGTCAACCTGGAATCCAAACCTGGGCCTCCCGTATGGTTCCAGCATCGCGCAGCAGTGCCCGAGCGCCTGCACTACTGCAGCCAGGCCCCTAAATGCCTTTTGTTTTGCTTCTTCCCTGAGAGAGAGAGAGATGGAGGGACAGAGGGGAAGAGACAGGTGCTCCTAACAGAGCCCCACACCACATCCACCCCTAGCTTCAGCCCATCCCAGATGACAAGCATGCCTGTGCCCAACATGGACCTTGAGGCCTTAGGACACAAACCCGGGACCTTCCCATGTGGGTCCAGTTGTGTTACCATTGTGCCACCATTTGGTCTCCAAAAATGCCTTTTTTTTTAAAGAATTATTTTATTTAACTCTATTTATATGTTTATTTTAATTTGACTAGAGAGGGACAGAGAGAGAGAGAAGGAAAGTGAGAAAGCAAGGCTCCAGGGACTCAAATCATGGTCAGCCATGTGGGAGTCTAACATCCTTAACCACCATCCCACCTGCCAGCCCCCCAACATGCCTTTTTAAAAAATTTGCTAGAGGATGGGACCAGCAGATGGCATAATGCTTATGTCTCTGGACTTCCATGTAGTCAACCACAGTTCAAGGGCCGGACCTGGTGGCTTAAAACTCATGCCAGGCACATGTGCATGCATACCCCAAATCCTAAAAGAACAGAGGAAAAGGGATTGTGGCATGGCCATCCCCCCAGGGGGTGATTTCTTGCCTTCTGTTTCCTTGTCTCTCTGTCTCTCCAGCGAGCACATGCACCCTATAGCAAAAACCTTTCTTTAAACATAAAAAAATTGCCAGAAGAGAGGCCAGCAGGTGGTGGGGTGGTTCAGATGGTGGACTCTCACATGGCTCGCCTGGACCTGGCGGCTTGAGAGTCACTGCAGGTGCGTGTGCATCAGCATGTGCCCAGAATCCCAAAAGAGGAAGAGAGAAGAAGGGATTGCGAATGGCCAGCCCTCCCGGGGTGATTTCTCACTTTTCTCCTCTGTCTCTGGTGAGAAGGCAAAAATAAATAAATAAATAAATAAAATGTGACCAGTAGATGGCATAATGGCTATGTCGCTGGACTCTCACAGTTGACTGCAGTTCGAGTCCCGGACTGGGTGGCTTAAACTCATGCTGGGTGTATGTGCATGCATGCCCAGGATCCCGAGAAGAGAATGGAGGAGAAGGGATTGTAGCATGGCCATCCCCCCTGGGGAGTGATTTCCTGCTTTTTGTCTCTCTTTTTTAGTGAGTACACAGCATCCTATAACAAACACCTCTCAAAAAAAAAAAAAAAAAAAAAAAAAGTTAGCACTCTAAAGAGAGAGAAAGAGAAAGCACTTCCCCCAATAGGGGACGGTCACACTGTAATCCCTTCTCCCTCCTTTTGGGATTTTGGGCACACAGGCACATGTGCCTGGCATGTTTCTCGAGCTGCCAGGTCCAGGACTCGAACCATATAGTAGGCTGTGTGGGATCCAGCTATCTTAACCAACATGTCACCAGCTTACCCCCAAAACGTCTTTTTTAAATTGTCTTTTTTTAACCCCAAAGCTGATCAAGTTTCATGCATTGATTTGGTTGTCTTAGCTCTAGTCTCTTCACCTAAACCAGGCCCTGCCCTTTCCTTCTCTCAGCCTTGTCTCAGTGGGAGTGGTCTAAGGTTAGATGTGTCCGGTTATCTCCGTTGTCTCGTCACTACGAGATGCAGGTAAATCCTCCCAGCAGGAGCACTTGTGAGGGTCACGCCGCCCTTCCACTGCACCATTTTCGAAGGATACCCCTTTGTAGATCCTGCGTCTGTATTACTTGAGCCCAGTCCACGTGGTGTGGACAGAACTGCTGGGTTGTAACTTGCACAAACACGCATAGTACATACACCCTTTCGCTTATCTGTACTGGGCAAGGACCCGAGAGACGTCCAGGTGTTGTCAGGGCTGGGGCGGTTCTGTTGGCCCACCCACCACTGACTTGGTGCTCAGTGGAATTGAGATATCTGCGTTCCAGAAATGTCAATGGCTTTGGGCTGGACTAGGAACAAGGAGGGGGTGAAGGAGAGTGAAGTGTCACCAAGTCCACGGGCCCACTGCTGGGGAAGGAACAGACGGGCAGACTAGGGGGACATGAAAGCCAATGGCAGGAGCCCTGGGCAGCCACTGGCCACCTGGCGTGTGGGGAGGCCCGGCGCTGGATGGATTTGGACGAGGGGCTTTGTGGGCCCGCTGCTCTATTTCTGGAGCCTGGGAGCCAGAGCCTCAAAATACAGATCACCGATGCTTAGTTAGACAAGAGGGCTGGGGTGAGGGCAGTCACCAGGATGTGCCAGAACCTAGACCTGGCATGCTCAGAGCCTCGGGAGGAAGGAGCATGATTTTCCTGGGGGGGAGCCCAGAGAGGGCTGGGGAAGGGGCACCGGGCCTGGGCTTCAGGTTTGCCATCATTTTAAACACAGGTTTCCTGACAGCGAGGCCACTCCAACATTTTCTGATTTTACTCATAGGAGGGAGCCTCCAAAAGTTCATAGAGCATGCATATTCTTAAAAACTATGCATGGATTTCAAAAACATTTGTACCAAAATAAACTCAGACTTTAATTCCACCTTTCCATGAACTTTTTGATTCTCCCTGGTTTGTTTGTTTGTTTGTTTTGGCAGTAATTAGCCCAACCTCACCATGATTAGGGTGGGACCAATGCAGTAATTTAAGGCAAAACATGAATTTTAAGAATTTGAAGTAAAGGGGGCCAGCAGGTAGCATGGTGGTTAAGGTGTTGGACTCCCACGTGGCCAACCGTGGTTCAAGTCTCAAGCCTGGTGACTTTCTTTTTCACCTTCTCTCTCTCTCTGGTCAAATTGGAAAAATAATAATAAGTAAAAAAATAAATAAATAAAGATAATTCTTAAAAAAAAAAAAAAAAAAAGAAAAAATGAAAAAAAAAAAAAAAAAAAAGAATATGAAGTAAATAAAGAGAAGTGACCCAGGATATGCCAGGATTCACACAGGTGATGACAGAGACACTGATGTTAGCGACAGAGGTGAGTGGATGGGTGGTGTCTGTGGCGGCCCCTTCTGTGGCAGGCTAGGGGACAGCAGTTCTGGCCCTGCTGATCGGCATTC